TCTGGAGCGATGGAGGGTGCGTGAACTCCTGAAACTATGGTCCTGAGATAATCTTTAAACCTTAAACCAAAAATATTCCCTGAAGTCATCTTAAAACTGAACAATAGTTTAGCTTAACTAGTAAAAAAGGACTGCCTTGAGCATTATGCTCTTTTAAGAACTATCTGTATGGGATCAAGTTACAACAGCAACTCGAAAGATTAGATAGGAACCTTAGGGGGCAGTAAATTTATGTTAACGGGGGAGAAACAACTCAGAAAAGGAGAGTGAGAATGGTTGTACAACTCGAAGAATGTAATCAATGTCACTAAATGGTATGTGTAGAAACGGTTGAATTGGTGTATGTTTTGCTGTGTATATTCTTAACAACAACAAAATAAATAAAATTTATTTAAAAAAAAGAACATCTCATCTGTCAGTCCAGCAGCCACCTGCATCTCTGCCTGAATCCTTCATCTTCCCTCCAGTTCCCGTGAATGAAACTCCCCGGCGCCTGTCTACACCAACCCCTCCACCTCCACTGAGGCTCTGATCCCATCGCCTCTCACCTTCTCAAGAACTTCCATAAGTACTTCATTCCTTTTCCAGCATCATCAATTTCCCCCTCGCCATGGAAGCCAAACATGCTTAAATGTCTACAACTATTAAGCAAACCTCCCTTTTCCCTGTGTACTCCTCTCCAGCCACTGCTTCATTTCTCCATTCCCCTGCAGAGCAAAACTTCATACAAGAGTAGTCAATCGTCAGTATCTCATCTTCTGCTCCCTCCAGATCTCTCTCCAAGCTCTCTTATTTGGGTTTGGTTCCCATCCCTCCACCCAAATGGAACCTATGAAGGCTACTAATTACTTACCAAACTCAGTGGTCACTTCTCAGTCCTCATCTTACTCTCAGAAGCATTTGATCACGTTGACTTCTCCCCCATTTTTGAATCGTCTTCTCCTGGCTTCCATCACACCACCCTCTCCTGGTTTTTCTTCTACCTGGCTGGCTGCTCTTTTTCAGCCTCTCACCTCCACTACAAGATTTCCAAGGTTGGGTGGCCTCAGGCTCAGACCTGGCCCTTTTGTCTTTCCTATCTACACTACCCTAGCTTGAAGGCTTCAGATAGCATCTCTACCCTTATGTCTCCCATTGACATCTCTCCCTGGACCTTTTACCTGAGCTTTGGACCCACACCTCTAATTGTCTCAAACATCTCCACTTGGTTGTCTAAGACACATCAGGCATCTCAAACTTAACATGGGCCAAAAAGAAAACTATTGATTCCACCCCCTCCACAATAAAACATGTACTCTCCCACTCAAAACAAAAGAAAGAAAAAAAACACTGCCTTCGAGTCAATTCCGACTCATAGCAACCCTATAGGACAGAGCAGAACTGCCCCATAGAGTTTCCAAGGCTGTAATCTTTACGGAAGCAGACTGCCCCATCTTTCAGCTGGTGGGTTCAAACTGCAGACCTTTTGGTTAGTAGCTGAGAGCTTTAACCACTGCACCACCAGGGCTCCTTCTCTCTCCCACTAGTCCCATTTCAGTAAATATTACCATTTTATATGAGTTGTTTAAGCCAAAAAACTAGGAGTCATCCTTAATTACTTTTTTCCTCTCACACCCTGTACCCAGTCCAATCAGTAAACACTGTCATTTCTATTTCCAAAATGAATTCAGAATCTAGCCACTTCTCAGCATCTCCGCAGCTACCACCTTAGCTATCATCACCAGCCACAGTGGCCAATTGGCCTACCGGACTTGATTCCAGAGTGACTCTGGTAAAATGTAAGTCAGATCCTGTCACTCCCTGCAAACCACCTCCCAGGGTGCTTCAGGGCAACAGGAAGCACCTGTACTGTCCAAGGAGAAGCAGCAAGCCCACTGACTGCATGGGGAACGGTGACCTGGGTGGGAAGGCTCTATAGGGAGTGTAGAGAAACACAAATACCCTCAAAGTGGGAGAAAAGGGAAGGTGCTTCACTTTTAGGTTTCTTTTCCCTTTGAAACCCCCTAGGCCTTCAGCAATGCCAAAAGGAGGTGGATGATGTAGCAGATGCCACTGGTGCCTCACTCATATGCCCTCTGCCCTTCCCAAAGGACACCTGTGTAATTCCTGTACACACCATAGGTTTTTTGCACCTCTCTGCCTGAGACAGTTCTCTGGCCCTGGGAGCATGCTGGGACCACACATGGGGCAGGCCCCAGAAGCCAGGGAGGTCATGCTCCAGATGCTAACTTCCCTGAGGGAGGGAAGTTGGTGGATAAATATTCTTGCTTCCTCACTCCCCAGTGGAACAATTTTGAGGTATGTTCTCAGGGAGTCCCCAGCTGGGTTGAATCCCAGTTGTCCACAGTGGTAACTAGCTGAATAACACACCACGCATTGTGTACTGACTTTCACTCCTTCTCTGCCTCACTTTCCTACTTCTTCCCTGTGCTTCTGGGAATCCCACTGCAAATAAACTACTTGCACCAAAATCCTTGTCTCAGGCTCTGTATTTTGGGAAAGCCGAACTAAGACACATAACCTTGTGCATTTCCTCCCAAAGGTAATGCCTTTTACAATATCAAACAAGAACAATACCATCCTAAACACATACGGACAAGAGGGAAGATCTAGACACAGACTGAAGATAGCCTTCTTAGAAAGATTAAAAAATAATAGATTTTAAGTCTGTCCTTTGATATTATATTACCAGTTACCAGTTGCCTTTGAGTCAATTCCAACTCATGGCCACCCCATGTAGAACTGGGCTCTATAGAGAGTTTTCAAGGCTGTGACATTTTGGGAGCAGATTGCCAGGCCTGTCTTCTGAGGCACCTCTGGGTGAGTTCAAACCCAACCTTTTGGTTAGTAGCTCAGCTCTTAATGGTTTGCCACCCAGGGACTCCTCAGTATTATTTAGCCCCGTCTTTATTTATTCAGGAGCGATGGTGGCATAGTGGTTAAGAGCTCAGCTGTTGACAAAAAGGCCGGCAGTTCAAATCCACCAGCCACTCCTTGAAAACCCTATGGGGCAGTTCTACTCTGTCCTATAGGGTCACTATGACTTGGAATTGATTCAAGGGCAACGGGTTATTTATTCATGTATAAATATGCATAAATAGAGTATATATTCATCAACTGTATGTATGCAGACACTGAAGATCCTCTTTTCTCCATCAGTCACTAGTTTGCACCCCAATTAAAAGGACTTGAAAAGACTGTGTTAAATGCCGGGCACACAACTGCCCACTGCTGCCTCTAAAGAAAGAGGGGAACGGAGGGCATATTCTGATCCTGCTCCAGGACTGAGTTTCACTTGTATGAAACCTAACTTAAGGAGCAATGAGACATAAGCACACGGGCACACACACACACACACACACACACACACACACACACACACACACACACGGGAAATCTAGACACTGCTCGACAGTCTGCAAAACTTCCCTCCAGCTCTTTTGAAGTGAAATCACCACTCGCCCCAACCACACTCCCCAGAACTCAGCGCTGTTGAAAGTGAAGGGCTTGTCCCTGCTGTGCGGTTGGGGTAAAAAAGGAGGCAGGATTAAAGCGCTCATTTCAAGTCCCTAAAGTAAAATACGACTTGGCCCACGGCAGTCCTAATTCTTTCCAGAACTCATCCCCGGAATTGCCCTTTTAAACAACCAGTCATTAACTCAACTCCGGGTCTTTTACAGCTGCGAAAACCGATCGCGCACATCATTTATTCATTACGCTTATTGTTATTGTTATTGCAGAAAAGCGGTGAATTCCCGGGGCGGAGTTCAAAGCTTTGGTCAGAGGAGGGGTGGGACGCGCGGGAAGGGGGAACAGCCAGAAGGCCGGGCCGGACTTCAGGGCCAGGTGCCCGGAAACCCCGGGGGACCAAGGCCACAAATGCGCCCCCACCCCGCGCACTCCGCGGCCACCGCGCACCGGCGCAGCTGCTGCCGCAACCGGGGAAGCTTCTTATGTAAGCCAGACCCGCTGACATCACCTACGCCGCGAGCGTCGCAGCCGGACTAAGCGCCAAGAGACCCGCGCGCCGCCCGGGTCGTGCCTCAGTGATGCCGCCGCCGCCAGGTTTGGGCGACGGTCCGCCAGAGAACCAGCCTGCGAGCCCCTCTGAGGGCAGATAGCACAGAATGGCCATTTAGAGGGAGCCCTGTGCTGTCGCAACAGTGAAGAGGCGGCAAAGGGGCCCAGGGGTCTCCCAGACCGCCTCCCTCGCCCCCTTCCCGAGCCTGGCAGGACTAGTTCATGCCTAAACCAACACGGCAATAGAGTTCGGCGACAGGGAATCTAGGGGTCCGCCTGCGGGACCCTCGGAGAGCAGATGGCACAGAAAACCATTTAGTAGGAACCCTGGGCTGCTCCGGGCAGCAGAGGCCCGAGGGTCTCCTCGCTCTCCCCGGGCCCGGGACCTCCTCCCCGTTCCCGCGTCGCCGCGGGGCCACTAGGGTTGAAGCCCAGCACTTCAGAGTTCGCTCCAGAGACGAGCGGCGCCGCGCTCTGTGTCGCACACGATCATAAGATACAAGTTCGGGACTCAGCGCAGCCCCTGAGGTCACAGCAAGAGTGACAAAACCGCCGCGGCGCTGCAGAAGCCCCGAAAGCACAACCACCAGCCTTGGAGCCCCCTAAACACACGTGGATGGGGTCGGCTAAGGGGCTCTGAGCAGGGCTACTGGAAATGACTGGAGTGGCCCCCTGGGGGAAGGATGTGGACGGCGCGCCCCGGAGGCGACCGACAGACCCCTCTGCCCATGTGCCCATTAGCGCGCCCTTTGGGCCCCTCCGCGCTCGCTGCTGCCTGCGAGTTCCGAGGCGGCCCTTCAACTTTCCCTGCTGCTCGCCCGCCTCCCTACCTCGAGTTCTGGCCTGGCCACCCAGCCCGGGGATAGGGTTGGAGGGAGAGGAAGGAGCGAGCTGCGGCGGGCGCGCCGCTGCGGGGCTGGGATTGCGGCAGCCGGGGAGGGCGCGAGGGCGCGGCGCGGGAGGAAACGGGCGGTACTCACGCACTGCCTCCTGCTTGGGGTCCAGCGTGCCGAGGACGCGCTGCACGCCGCCCAGCTTGCCCTGCAGCGCCCAGACGCGACGGTGGGTGAGCTGGATGTCGCTCTCGAGCTCCTGGAAGAGGCTGCACGCGTGCCGGGCCACGTCCGAGAGCTGCCGAAGCACGCGGGCCAGCGCGGCGTTGCTGACGGCGCACAGGTCCAACATGAGCAGCACGGCAGCCGCCGCTGAGGACGC